AAATTGAATGACCTAGTTTCCGACCTACTTACGCGCGCGTATCGCCCTCTAATAGAACGCTCTCTAGTGGAACAGCACGTTCTAGTAGAATGGCTGGAGCAAAACCTTTATCCGTGATTTTATTGCGCTCAAAGACGTTCTATTTTCGAACTAGTTGAAACCGGACATAACGCAACTACTTTCGAACTTCAAACTCAAATTTGATTATCGTTATTATGTGTTAGTTTCTGTTGTTTCAAAGATTGAATTATGTATGACAATAATATTTCACTCTATAAACAATGTTTCACTAAAATGTGTGATTCAAAGGCAACCCAAATTGTAAAAAGCAATATCAAGTTCCGCGTATAAACACTGTTGTAAAAAGGCGGCGGAGCGGAATTTTAGCCAAAATCGGCTAGTAAGGCGTCATATGACACAGGTTTGTGCTGGGACAGCGCTTCCGGTGACGACACAACGAGATTGGTCCCACTAGTTGCGGCTCTCTGTAGCTCCCTAGTTCAAGAAGACTCTGCAAGGGAGAGTGCTATAGAATTACACGTTTCTGATAGGCCAGCAAATCTATAATTTTGAACACTACAGTCTACAGTCTGAGAAAATGTTATATTTTCAGCTATATATGATGAGATCTACATGATGAACAGTGCCCTTGACTCGGGCCAGCAGTATTTTTAGAATTACCAGGCATCACTTTTCCTCGTCGTTAGCGAGGAAAAAGTGGGTCAACAAAGAAAGGTTTTATTAATCATCTGACTACGTCTTTGCACGTTGATGGCGCAGCACGATAAGCAAGCTATTGTTAGAAAGTTGAATGTATCGATTTTAGGCGCGACTATTTTCTTAAGAATGCGAAACTTGCGAATTTACGAGAGTAAAATATAACTTCGTTTTCTTTTTTATACTAAGATATATATCATGGGGTCCATATAACCTTTTTTTTACTGATTTGACTATGATGTGTAGTGTTCTCGTCACTCGTTTTCTCGATTGTTGTCAGTAGTTTTTGCGTTCTTGTACTTGGAAATTTCCCTACACGACACTGTAAACAGATCTGCGGTTGGATATGTTAAATCCACATTACAGAACATGCACATCCCTAAATCGTAATAAATTTATAAGAGGTCAGGGTGAAAATTGTATTATTATGCAATGTTTTATACATTAATTTGAATGGTAATATTTAGAAAAAAACGGATATTTTTCAACTGATTTTTGCTAGAGGTGATATATTCTTGTAAACCGTCAGTGTTTTTGAAAACAATGCACAGTAACATACATATATTTAATTTCATTCAATGAAATGTTACCAACTATTCTCGGGGCGGACATCCGGGCATTTTCACCGTCTGGCAACCATCACCGTGACGGTGAAAACTCTCAGAAAACGATACTTTTGGATAGTTGTCGGGACTCCCTTGAAGAGTGTAACAAGATTAGCCCTACGTGTGCAGCATATATAAGTTTGGGATTACTTCAAAGTTGAGTTTGTGTTGCTTCCTCGACTTTAGCTATTTTCACCGGCTCTTCGACCGGCACTCCACAGGAGCGCGAGCAGAGCCCATACAAATACGTGGTACAGTGGTGCGCGTCTTAGCAACGCGGAACGTCTTGTGACGTAGCTCCGCTCCCGAGGATATTGTGGGGTACAGGTTCTTTTACAGAATCTGATAACAAGTCAGTTACTTCGAGTTGAAAAGGACGACTACTTTATTACGTGGTCTCACACATTTGACAAGTTTACATTCTGGCGGGAAATCTCAAGTTACATTAACATGATAGGCTATAAACTATAGTGACGTAATGTAAGATAAAGATTATCATATGGTATCCCCAAATATGTTAATCTCTTAAATCAGTTCCCAACATATATCAATTTTTCGCTGTGAAATTAACAATGTTTTTATGCTTCATTATTGTTCCAGACTGCCAAATACGAAGTATATATTCTCTACTGATATTTACCAATAAAATTACTATATTACTGCCATGACATATATGTATGTCATCCATTCGATCAGCGTCTGTCTGATTGTCAACATGACTGGGCAGCGGATGGGCAAATCTATTTACAAATTTCTGGCGGTAATTACTCGTGTTTACCGATGTTAAACTACGTAACATACCTTATGCGCGAGTCTATAATACCAACTAGCCGGTGTTCAAAATTCACGTTTTTATAATTAGAAAAACTCGGAATGTGCCTTGACAAGTTTATCACGAAGTAGTTAAGTGTACTGAGCAAGGACGTTCATGTGACGTAATTGATATTCCATTTTCAGCTGATATAATGAAGTAAATGATATAAATCACGAATTGTTAAACAAATAAACACTGAATAAATATATATTTAAAGTAGAATATCACTGTCTGATAAAAACTACTTCCCAATTTTGACTGCTCTTTTCGAAACGCCCGACACTCCTTGAAACTGATCCGTGCACTGGTTTGGCATTGCCTTTGAAATTGTCGGCTGTTTCTGTTTCTTCATGATCTGGTAATTACTATTATGCTAAAATAAAACAATCTTTAAGGCGATAATATACAAACTCTGCAGCTATAATTATTTTATTTCACGCAAACGAATTCGATGTCAAACTTCAGTGACGTAGCAGCACGCAAGGTAAAAAAAAATAACAACTGTCAATGCTAGAGAACACGTTTTTATTTTTCTCGACGTTTGATTCAAGTTTTCAATGTGTCGATTCAGTAATTATAACTTCGTTTCTGAAAAAATGATTATACGATTCACCCTATCCGTATATTTTCCCCCACGTTTTCTGTAAAAATACTGCTTTCAGGTGACGCGAATTCATAGTGAAGGGAATAGAAACATGCTGCTGTTCACATTATTGCGGATTAAATGCCAAAACACTAAATGCACAACCTTTAGTGCACACACAGGGTTTTTAAAAATAGTGTTTCGATTTGGTAGTTAGAAGCATGAATGTAGCATTATTCGACAGCCAAACATTGAGACAAATCAGGTTGCACTCTTTATAATTTTAACCAAAATGTGATCACATTGTAACACTTCGTTTACTTGGCGTCTTTACTACAAACTACGTGGACAAGAAAGCCTGATCGTGCCCGCCGTCCGTGTCAGTGTTTCAGATTCCGATGTAATATTGGTTATGGCAAACTATAATTGTCACAACAGACCCTACCAGAAGGGAACGTCACTCAGCGATGATTTATCACAAATAATCATAAAGGAAATCGTGGAGAGTGGTAGTGGTGGTAATATGAATACCGGCGAGGTACCGAGTGCAGTGTTCCCTGCAGTAGGGCGTAAGTTTTCAATAACCGCGGCCGGGGGCCCGCCGGGGTCCGAAAAGTATGGCTGAGATACGTACTAACAAGTTCGACAAAACCATCAGTCTTGAATAGGGGGAGAGACCCACCAAATTACCGCATGGAGATTTAAAATTTCTTGAACCTCTTAAAGCGGATAGGCCGTCAATCACTTATCGTGAGATGCAGGAGAGACTTCAAGAAGTATCGGCAAAAAATGTGTGTGTGTTTACGCTTTTCAACGCCGTTCGCCACAGATTTACAGGTAGAGACTGGACGTGGAAGAGATTAAATACTACAGCCACAGAAAGATTCACCGAACGAAATATCATTTACACTCGAGAATTTATTGATGAAATGCATGTTATAGATCCGCATCGTTTAAAATACATGGATGAAAGTGGCTTCAATATTTCGGTTGCTAATCCTAAATACGGACATTCGTTAATTGAGACTCCGTGTATTGAAATCTTTGAACATCACGAATTAGTCGATGTGTATTAGGCTGTGTAGTTGTGTGTGTAATATTCGCTGTGTGCTGTTCAGTGCTAGGAATACGAGTAAATTTGGCGGAAAGTGTTGATTGTACCAAGGTACTGTCACAATGTAACAATATGTATGAGTGCTGTAATATGTTGCAATAAATAAGGCAGTTATGGTGTTATGTAGCAATATCCTATACTTCATTATGTATACTGCCTAGTATAAACACTATTTTTAAAACCCCTGTAATCACGTGTCGTCAATATGGTGACATGCGCAATAATCACGTGGTCTATACAGTGCGTTATACACGTTGAACAACCACAAAACAAACACAGAACAGCACAACTAATAGAGACATCAATTGCAGATAAGACTGTGTTCTTGATCTATCACATTCTCTTGCGTTCATGATGGTTTCCCGTGCTTTATCCCACACACCAGGACCCGTTAGGCGATACGTTGCTGGATAGCATGGTTCAAACATTACAGCGTATGCTAGTTTAGGATCTGTCAGGAGAAGCTTCCAGAAATTTGGCTTGGCTCCGATAAATTCAGCTATCTGATCTTGATATGGTATGGAAGAGACCTGAAAATAGATAACATATCCAGTGTTGTGTTATGTTGAAAAGAAAGAAGAATTGTGACGATTTGAAATCTTCTCGTACAATCACAGTGCCTCAACACCGGTGTGGTACATTATATATTTAATGACGGTGATATAACTTGAATGGAACATATACAATCCAACTTACACCAACTCCGTGTTTTCCGAATTTCTCAAAAAAATTCCTCTTTCGAGTTTTTACTTCTGTCATCATGGTTTCTTCGTCCGGCAATTTGCACTCTCCTTTGAAAACACGCGTTGCCCATCTTGCTTGCAGTTCAGAGACTGGTCCCGCAGGCCCTGATACACGAACTGTTCCGATGACAGCGAGGGTGGGCTTATTCAGACGGGGCGGAAACACGCGAAAGTACAATTCAATGTTACGAGCACCGTCTAAAAAATAAAGAGTAAATTCAATATATTGTAGAAACAGACCAAAATTGCTGCAAAAAGTTGATGATAATAAACAGTTGCTAAACGTCCAGTTAAGACGTATTTATAGCGAAATTCTATTTGTTCCCATTTTCAAAAACCGAGATTTTAAGCAAAAACACTGAACTAACCGTTTTATTTATTTTTGTTTACCATAAAGTCAACATTATTAATTTGGAAGACATGTAAGCAAGGTAAAATCATAATGTGGACAGAATCACATTCAATTTACCTGCAATAATGTCGTTATCTATATATGGAAATGTTAAATTGTAACCAGTAGCACATACGACGGCGTCTACGTCATCCACTACCGTGCCGTCCACAAACTCCACGCTGTTCCTCGTCAACTGTTTTATGGCAGTTTTGCACTTCACTGCCCCACAGAAAATACGATTGGCAATATCATCGTTGATCATGACCACATGTCTATGCAGTGGTCTGTTCGATTTCAGTCCAAGTTTATCATGGTTCACCTGCGACAACACTATTTTCTGTGATATCATATTCATGACCGACTCAGGAAGCTGTTCGTATATGCGTCTATTGCGCGTCATATCAAGAGGTGCTCCAGACCCCATACGTTGAAGTAGCCACGTACCATCCCGCATAGAAATGTAAACCTACATGTACATAATTAATCACTAATTAATGAAATAAAACAAGCAGCCAGTCGGCTGAGATAGCTCCGCTGTTAGCAATGCACATTTCAATCAAAGAACAGAAGATATCATTAGAAAATGAACAATATGTATAGTATCAAAGCAATGGGACTTGCTGTTTTCAACAAGAATTCAAAAATATCACTTTTCACCAAAAATGACAAAAATATTCACCAAAATTAAAGATATCATTACAAAATGAACAAATCTGAGAGAGGTCTACCCAAGGTACATATACACCAAGTATCAAAGCATTCAGGCTTATGGTTTCAAGAAGAAGTAAAAAAAGTAAAACATTGACACGGACGATGGACGACGACGGACAATCACTCATATGATAAGCTCCGCTCGACAAAGTCGACAGCGAAGCTAAAAATACCAGCAATCTAATAGGAACATCATTTGCAGCCTGTCATGTAGGCGTGAGTGGCGCCCTCGCCGTCCGAACGGAAATAGATTCCACTCATGTGTGTTGAGGATGGAGCACCGCGGAGGGCGCAACACACGCGACCTTGTCAGGCTACGTCAGTCGCAAAACGTTTGTATTTTACACGCAGCGTTGCATAAACCGAATGCAAACATTCAAAACATCGCAAACGTTTCTCATTACCATTTTGGGCTATTTTCTTAAAATATTACAAGCGGGAAAAACATTCATAATAATAAAGTTATCATGAGAATACTGCAAAGTATGTACTCAGGTAGTACGGGATACTAAAGAAATATTCTCGTGACAACTCCTTATAATACTGTATGTAACTACACCTGTTTGGCAAATCTACTGATTTCAGCGGCAATATCTCCGGCCGAATTGGAAGCACCTAATAATTAATACAAAACTACGGTGAGAAAAAAAAAAGAGTTTTAGTATGTCAGTGATGAAATAATGACGTAATACTATGTGCCGCAACTATGTACGTACCATTAAGTTGTAGCGAATGTGCATTTGCGCTCTATTTATTAATATTTTTTCAAACACATAATCATGCGATTATTTCTCATTAACTTTGAGATCCAACGTTATGCGCGAATCGAAATCAAAAATAGTTTCGAAGTATTTTCACGCTTGATATTGTGCTATACACATTGCATAATCAATGACAAATTACGATTAACTGACCGTAATCTCAATTCAATCTCTCGACATTGAGCTGTTGTCGGAAAGTAACTGAGCTTTTAGAACAATTTAGGATTCTGACTGAGAATTAGCCAGCCAATAAGATTGATTTAATTTCAACCAATTGACAAGCTCGTTAAATCATAATGACCAATCAGCTCGTTTTAGGTTTTCGCCAATCATATACAAGGCCATTGTAACCAGGCCAATATTTACTTTGAGTATATAGGTAGAAAACGACACATCTATTCGGAAGTTCAACCAATAACATTTTTTGTTGCAGTCCATACGCGGTCTCATCCTCCATTCCTGAGCCTAATATTTTTACACTTCTCACAGCTACTGTGGAATACTTTATTTTAGCTGTAATTAATTTTCGCTGAAAAAGCTTTTTGGGCGTTTTGTATGGAATTTATTTTCACTGATATTTGATGGGTTTCATGTGAAATATGGGACGAAAATGGCGAAATTAAAGTATTCTACACAGTATATAAAAAAGAAAATTTAAATTTGAAAACAAATCATTCTATTTTTTGTGGCAGACGTTCGATCCGTGTTATAACATGTTTTTAATTAAATTTACGTCAATAGAAATAGGGTACGACAGTCTAACATATGACATTCGGAAATAACTACGAACATAAGATTGAACTCTCAAGCTATACGTGAGTAACACATTATCTTATCTTACCAACCACCACTACTATTTTCCCACGAAAATCTGGACCTCTTCTGAACTTGTTGCTGTGTAGTATCAACCCTTTGAAGTCGCCCAATCCGTCAAAATCGGGCGTGTATGGCGTAGTGCACACTCCAGTACAGCACATAACGGCGTCAAACAATTCCTGTTTCACAGGTTGCCCTTCTTTCTTTAAATGCAATATCCACTGACCGGTCTTCCTATAATGCTGTGCCGGCTCTACTTTCACTACTTTGGTATTCAAGGCAATGAATTGATGGAGCCCGAAACTGTCAGCGTAACTTCGGTAGTATTCCAGTACTCGTTCATGTCTCATGAAAGGCGATGTCTCTTTTGGAAAGGGGAAATCACTGAAACACGTCATATCTCTACTCGTGTTTGTTATCATGGACTCGTAGAGGGCGGCTCCTTCTCCATCGCGCAGTTCGTCGTGATAGTTCCATAGACCAGCTGAATGATTGTAAAGAAACGTTTTAGAAATAAAATACCCCAGAAAAATAAATCAAATTTTTGTAATCTTCGTTCACCTCCCAAATTCAAGTAAGGGGCAAATGTGAAGGCAAAACAAAACAAAACCAAATATATATGTTGTGCGTAACTCGATGTTTGGTTAACTGTTAATTAAAGTTCGAATTCCTAAATGTGGACGTTCAACAACAAAAATCAATGTGTGTTGCCAGTAACTTGGAGTTCAGTTATCTGTTTATTGAACTTCGAATTACAATTTGGACGAGATCTTGCAAAAGTGGGCGTGATTTCTAAAACATGGGCGTGGTCAGGTTTGTAATTCGATGCTCGTAACTAACAATTCAGCATCTCCATTTAAATATTATGGGATACGCGTGTACACGCACTCCTGTATAGAGGTCAACCCCTTACATTAAAGACACGGGTACTGTTTCATGTCACGCATTGTCGCCCCAGCTGATGACTATGACCCGATTACACAAATAAACGCAGGTCCTCCCTTGTCATGAATTTTGTCGTGGTTTGTGGGTATTACTGCTGCAGTTGAAATACGTTCGGAAAGAGACGTTTGTTTAATAGTTCATGGTCACGAGAAGCACACACAATTGTAGGCGATTTCTCACAAGTCCAACTGTACACAATAAACACGTACCTATCTCGTCTCCTTGCTCAAAGCAGACGGGGATTAGTCCTTCATCGTTACAACATTTGACGGAGACCAATCCGCTGATACCAGCTCCAATAACAGCAACTCGCTTTGTTGTCATTTCCGTTCGATTGTTCCGATGACCTCTGATACTCTATACTCTTGCACGGTTACCGTGACTCTAGGTCGAGCAGCGGAGGCGTAAATCCCATTTGCATATCCGGTATTTTTGAAGGCCTTCGCGAATCGCTGTGGACAGAATTAAGTCTTAACGCATGCGCAAGTGGACATAGTTTTGGCAATCAGTACATAATTATGAGTTGCGAGAAGAGATCAGGTTTTTATAGATCTCGAAATTTCGAACATTGAGATATACACATTTCTGAAACTTGTCAAACAGCCGGAGCGCTATCTACTGCCATAAACTTCAACTATAGAATGACGTAATTCCGACAGCTCAGAAAAACTTATTTTAAACACCACAGTCTCAAACAAAATGTTTTTGTTGCTAAATATTGGCCTTAATTCGGGCCAGCAGTATTTTTAAAATTGTCGTGCATCACTTTTTCTCGTCGTTTATAGCGAGGAAAAGACGTGTCATGTTGGTGGTGTACCACGATAAGTAACATCAAACATCGTTAGAAAGTTGAATGTGTCGACTTCGGGGATGACGATTGATTTCACCATTTTCTGTAGTTATATGCAATTGTTCTGTCGATCGTTGTCATTTTTTGTGTTCTTGGGCTTGTGAATTTTCCTACACGACTTCTGTAAACACATTTATGGCTGAAGCATGCTGCCAGACACGTACCGCCAGTCAATGTTGCTGCCTGTCACTTGCGCCATCTTGTTCAGGTTAGCATTCACTGTTGATGGCATTTTTCAGATTGTACCGTATTTAGCAGACAGTCGATACAATACTTCTGTATTGATAGAGGATGATCGCTATAAATTTCGGATACTAATGGTCACAAATATCACTGGACATCTATACATTTAAATTGACACCCGATTTCGCGTAAAAGCAACATCAACGTCAAACCTCCCAAAATACAGTGGAGTAATCAAATACAATTATTTTAAACTTCATTTTTTGATACGGTACATACATTCGGTAACCATCGAGATAACACTAGCATACAAGTGACTACGACTGAAATTTGACCCAAAACACCTGGCGATTTTAAAGTTTTGACCCCCCCGATAAAACAATCCTGTATCCGCCCCTGACATAGTAGCGAAATTAAACATGTGATTGATTTGAACGATGTGATTAATATGCTATATACATTCGATAACCATTACAATAACACGAGCACAACATAGTTTAAGTCTAAAATTTTACCAAATCACCCAGTTTTACATGCATACAATTTTAAACCCCAAAAGATGCATAGTAGCAAATTAAATATACATTATTGTGATCGATGTGCAATTAATATGATATATTCATTTAAAAACAATTGAGATAACGGCACCTCACAACTATTTTTTGTTGCAGCTAAGTTCAGCAGAAAATGGCTAAAAATTAAAAAATACATCATTGATCGTTTTTTTGCCGGAAATTATATTCTCAATGATAATGTTTTCCCTGCATGTAATGTTAAATGTTGGCAAAGTGTCAAGAAACTATGCAAGATACTAATAGCCTGTCGATAAATACGCCATAATTCGTTTTCTTTCCTCGTTGAATACTTGACACTATTCGAGGCAACTGTTGTAATGAGGAACATCAGTAGTAAATTAAATAAAAGTAAGCATTTCTTATTTTCTATCTTACCACGTGTACGTGTCAATCATAAAATGTAATGCTTACTATGAGTGGGCCATTACTACAACAACATATATTTCTTTTCAAATGTTACAAAGCGTTGGTAGGTTTGGGTGTTGTAAAGAACTTACTTATTATCTAGTAATTTACTAGTGCGTATTTGATGCACAATGTGATTCCGTTTAGCACACATATTCTGGCAATACTAAGCAACACGTCACGTGATTAATTTTTCACGAGAAAATTCCATTCAGAACAACAAATAGAAAAACAAAATTCAAAAGAGCGACAGACACAATAATAACTGGAACTCATAACAAATCAAATATCACAGAAATTCAAATAACAATGCATTTCTCTTCTTGAGATACTTTGATGGTACATCAATAAGGTTCATGATAGATTGTATTCTGGACTTTGCCATGGTTTTAATGATTAGTATCTTCCCTAACAAGGTCAGGTCTAAGTTGATACTCTTTTTCATATTTTCTATTACATTGGCTAGATTGCGCTTCAAGGATGCATCATGTGAAAAATATACACCAACAATCTTAATTAGCTGAGTTGGCCATCTGACAGGGAGTGGTTTTGACATGTTGTTCTTACATTTTCCTAACCACAATGCTTCATTTTTATCCATGTTAATCTTTGGACCTGATGAAGTGAAAATGTTTTAATCAAATCTAGTAACTTTCTTGCTGACTCAACATCCTGAACCAGACATGTTAAGTCATTTCGCTTCAGTTTCTGCACATGTGATACTACTAATTTTATTTTCAGAGCGCATCGAAATTAACTATTTCAAGTGCTACAATAAAAAGCATAGGTGAACTACAGTCCCCTTGTTTCACTCCCCTGTGTAAATCAAAATAACCTATGTTACTACCTTTGTTCATAACACAACTCATAATATTAACTTAAGGTAGCGAGACTATTATTTGTGTTGAAAATTACGATTTTCACATTTATTTATTAATTGATGAAATACACTATAAACTTTCTTATGATAAATTCAACATACCATAGAATGTCATGTAAGTTGGTTAAAATGTAGATTTTCTGAAGGTAAGCAAGGCAGCCTCCGTAGTGTTTTGCAAAATCAACACAGGTTTAATCTGTGTGCCTATAAGTTTCAAAGATAGACTCAAGACAAAGCAATATTAGGATATGTTATCAGTAGCTATCTGACACACAATGAGCGTTTCCAAACATTTGAGTGGTTTGTCCCCACCCCTGTTTATTTCACAGATTAG